GCAGGGAGCCCGATGTGGGGCTCGATCCCAGAACCCTGGGATCATGACCTGAGCCGAAGGCAGACGCTTAACGACTGAGCCACCCAGGCACCCCTAGATAATTCATTTAAATTCAAGGATATTTTGGGGATCAAATTTTACCTCACCAAGTCATAGTACATGTAATCTAGCTTATCTAAAAAACAAAAACAAATAAACACTCACTATTACCTGGCATTAGGCTCTCTATCCTTGGGCTCTAGTATTTCTTTATGACTTGATCTAGAGAAAAATAAAGGACAGCAATCAGTTTTGCTGTTTCATTCTGGATTGAATTTTTCTTGTTTTTTTCTTCTGAGCAGTCAACCACTTCATAAAGGTGTCTGAGTTGTTAGATGTTGAGAGAAAAATGGGGAAAAAAGGAAGTTAATTTGCTACCTTCCCAGAACACAGGTGAAGTTTTAAGCAACTTTGTATTCAAAATTGCTGGTAAAAAAATCACACATCAGAATCCAAGTGTGAAGATGAGGTGGAGTGTGGGTCTAGCAAGGTGGTTGGTTTGTCTCTGCATAAACCATGTGCAGTGTTTATGAAATAGGGACCCACTTCTCAAACTTTCAAGATTTTCTTAATTGGAATTTTTTTAATTGGGTAGACTTCCCATTGCAACTTCCCTTCTTCCTTACCCATCACCAGGCCCTCATTAACCCCTTTCTTTTCTGTAAGTCCTCCCTTATCCCAGATACGCCTTTCAAGAGTTAATATTCGCTCAATAACTTTTGTTTCCTTTCTTTTCAGTCCATAGCTTTCATGCCTGAACTCATCTACTCTTGTAGTTTCAGGGATTATTTCTATCTAGTGACACTCAAATCAATATGTCCTCTTAAGATCTCATTCTTGAGAATCATATCAGCATATCTATTTGATAGCACATTAGCTTCTCAACTTCCAATATATTAAAACTGAACTCACAATATTTTTCCACAAATTTACTTTTCTTTTTCTCGTTTCTACAAAAAGTGCCATCTACCCAGTTTCACAAAAAGAAACCTGGAAAATATCTTGGATTCCTCTCTCAACTCTCTTATTATACCATCCATGAAGTCTTGTTAATTCTACTTCTGGACAGGTGAGGAATGTCACAGGAAGTAAGAAAAAGTGTAACATGTATTTTAAACCCCTTTGAAACACTTCAGTGGAAACTAAATTCATTAAGAGAAACAAAATGATCATTGTAGTCTAAAACAAAGACAAAAAGATAATTCATCCCTAAGCAAAAGCTAATGCCATAGTGTTTTATCATTAAGTTCATTGTATTTTTACTATAAACTCCAATCTCTTTAATTTTATTTCATTAATACCATAACATTTATTGCCCATAATATATATGCATGTATCTTTGTAGAGCCATTATATATTATTTCCCAATAACCATGGCAAGTTTAATGTTCAAAAATTTCCATTATGTGAGAAAAATCAGTGAGAAAATAATTATGTACCATAACTGCTTCCACATGTTTTAATTTAAAAGATCTATTTTGGGGGGCACCTGGGTTGCTCAGTTGGTTAACCGTCTGCCTTCGGCTCAGGTCATGATCCCAGGGTCCTGGAGTCGAGCCCCGTGTTGGCTCCCAGCTCAGCGGGTGGTCTGCTTCTCCCTCTCTTCCCTGTTTGTGCTCTCTCTCGCTATCTCTGTCACTCACTGTCTCTCTCTCAACTAAATAAAAAAATCTTTCCTTTTTTATATTAAGTTTTTTATTTTAATTCGAGTATAATTAGTAGTGTTACATTAGTTTCAGGTGTGCAATATAGTGATTCAACAATTTTGTACATCGTTACTTAGTTCTCATCATGATTTAAGTGTACTTACTCTTAATCCCCTTCACTTATTTCACCCATCTGCCTGCTTGCCTCCCCTCTGATAGGCTTTATTTTAAATGAGTACTCTCAGTTAAAGTTACTGTTTTATTTTGTATTTTTTTTATTTTTAATTGTTATGTTAATCACCATACATTACATCATTAGTTTTAGATGAAGTGTTCCATGATTCATTGTTTGTGCATAACACCCAGTGCTCCA